CAGTATCAAATACCCAGGTGCTACTGCGAGCTCTAGTAAGGTACACATCAATAACATGTATATCACATATACCTTTGTTCACCTTGCCATCCTTCTTATCCGCCAAATACTTGGGGCAGTTCCGCTTCCAGTGACCAGTCTGCTTGCAGTAGAAGCACTCAGTTTCAGGTTTAGGTCCAGACTTGGGTTTCTTCTCTTGAGCAGCAACTTGCTTGCCGTTCTTCTTGAAGTTCCCCTTTTTCTTCCCTTTGCCCTTTTTCTTGAAACTAGTGGTCTTGTTAACCATCAACACTTGATGCTCCTTTTTGATTTCTACCTCCGCAGCTTTCAGCATTGCGAAGAGCTCGGGAATAGTCTTGTTCATCCCTTGCATATTATAGTTCATCATGAAGCTCTTGTAGCTTGGTGGCAGTGATTGGAGAATTCTGTCAATAACGCAATCATCCGGAAGATTAACTCCTAATTGAATCAAGTGATTATTATACCCAGACATTTTGAGTATATGCTCACTGACAGAACTGTTCTCCTCCATCTTGCAGCTATAGAACTTATTGGAGACTTCATATCTCTCAATTCGCGCATTTGCTTGAAATATTAACTTCAACTCCTGGAACATCTCATATGCTCCATGACGTTCAAAACGTCATTGAAGTCCCGATTCTAAGCCGTAAAGCATGGCACACTGAACTATCGAGTAGTCATCAGCTTTGCTCTGCCAGACGTTCATAACATCTGGTGTTGCTCCAGCAGCAGGCCTGGCACCCAGCGGTGCTTCCAGGACGTAATTTTTCTGTGCAGCAATGAGGATAATCCTCAAGTTACGGACCCAGTCCGTGTAATTGCTACCATCATCTTTCAACTTTGCTTTCTCAAGGAACGCATTAAAATTCAACGGAACAACAGCACGAGCCATCTATCTACAATCAACATAAACAAGCAAGATACTATCAGGTACTAAGTTCATGATAAATTTAAGTTCAATTAATCATATTATTTAAGAACTCCCACTTAGATAGACATCCCTCTAATCCTCTAAGTGATTACGTGATCCAAATCAACTAAACCATAACCGATCATCACGTGAGATGGAGTAGTTTTCAATGGTGAACATCGTTATGTTGATCATATCTACTATATGATTCACGCTCGACCTTTCGGTCTCCGTGTTCCGAGGCCATATCTGCATATGCTAGGCTCGTCAAGTTTAACCTGAGTATTCTGCGTGTGCAAAAACTGGCTTGCACCCGTTGTAGATGGACGTAGAGCTTATCACACCCGATCATCACGTGGTGTCTGGGCACGACGAACTTTGGCAACGGTGCATACTCAGGGAGAACACTTCTTGATAATTTAGTGAGAGATCATCTTATAATGCTACCGTCAATCAAAGCAAGATAAGATGCATAAAAGATAAACATCACATGCAATCAATATAAGTGATATGATATGGCCATCATCATCTTGTGCCTGTGATCTCCATCTCCGAAGCACCGTCATGATCACCATCGTCACCGGTGCGACACCTTGATCTCCATCGTAGCATCATTGTCGTCTCGCCAATCTTATGCTTTCACGACTATCACTACCGTTTAGTAATAAAGTTAAGCATTACATCGCGATTGCATTGCATACAATAAAGCGACAACCATATGGCTCCTGCCAGTTGCCGATAACTTGGTTACAAAACATGATCATCTCATACAATAAAATTCAGCATCATGCCTTGACCATATCACATCACAACATGCCCTGCAAAAACAAGTTAGACGTCCTCTACTTTGTTGTTGCATGTTTTACGTGGCTGCTACGGGCTTAAGTAAGAACCAATCTCACCTACGCATCAAAACCACAACGATAGTTTGTCAAATAGACTCCGTTTTAACCTTCGCAAGGACCGGGCGTAGCCATACTTGGTTCAACTAAAGTTGGAGAGACAGTCGCCCACAAGCCATCTCTGTGCAAAGCACGTCGAGGGAACCGGTCTCGCGTAAGCGTACGCGTAAGGTTGGTCTGGGTCGTCTCGTCCAACAATACCGCCGAACCAAAATATGACATGCTGGTAGGCAGTATGACTTGTATCGTCCACAACTCACTTGTGTTCTACTCGTGCATATAACATCAACATCAATAACCTAGGCTCGGATGCCACTGTTGGGTTTCGTAGTAATTTCAAAATTTTCCTACGCACACGCAAGATCATGTGATGCATAGCAACGAGGGGAGAGTATTGTCTACGTACCCAACGCAGACCGACTGTGGAAGCGATGACACGACGTAGAGGAAGTAGTCGTACGTCTTCTCGATCCAACCGATCAAGCACCGAAACTACGGCACCTCCGAGTTCGAGCACACGTTCAGCTCGATGACGATCCCCGGACTCCGATCCAGCAAAGTGTCGGGGAAGAGTTTCGTCAGCACGACGGCGTGGTGACGATCTTGATGAACTACAGCAGCAGGGCTTCGCCTAAACTCCGCTACAGTATTATCGAGGAATATGGTGGCAGGGGGCACCGCACACGGCTAAGGAATCGATCACGTGGATCAACGTGTGTCAACTTGTGTGTTTAGAGGTGCCCCTGCCTCCGTATATAAAGGAGCCAAGGGGGGAGGGGGCGCCGGCCAAGAGGGAGAGGCGCAGGAGGAGTCCTACTCCTACCGGGAGTAGGACTCCCCCCCAATCCTATTCCAACTAGGATTCCCAAGGGGAAAAGAGGGAGAGGGGTGGCCGGCCACCTCTCCTAGTCCTAATAGGACTAGGGGAAGGGGGGAGGTGCGCAGCCCCCTTGGGCTTCCCCTTTCTCCTTTCCACTAAGGCCCATGATGGCCCATATGGTTCCCGGGGGGTTCCGGTAACCCTCCCGGTATACCGGTAAAATCCCGATTTCACCCGGAACACTTACGATATCTAAATATAGGCTTCCAATATATCAATCTTTACGTCTCGACCATTTTAGGACTCCTCGTCATGTCCGTGATCACATCCGGGACTCCGAACAACCTTCGGTACATCAAAATGCATAAACTCATAATATAACTGTCATCGTAACCTTAAGCGTGCGGACCCTACGGGTTCGAGAACAATGTAGACATGACCGAGACACGTCTCCGGTCAATAACCAATAGCGGGACCTGGATGCCCATATTGGCTCCTACATATTCTACGAAGATCTTTATCGGTCAGACCGCATAACAACATACGTTGTTCCCTTTGTCATCGGTATGTTACTTGCCCGATATTCGATTGTCGGTATCCAATACCTAGTTCAATCTCGTTACCGGCAAGTCTCTTTACTCGTTCCGTAATACATCATCTCACAACTAACATATTAGTTGTAATGCTTGCAAGGCTTATGTGATGTGTATTACCGAGAGGGCCCAGAGATACCTCTCCGACAATCGGAGTGACAAATCCTAATCTCGAAATACGCCAACCCAACATCGACCATTGGAGACACCTGTAGTACTCCTTTATAATCACCCAGTTACGTTGTGACGTTTGGTAGTACCCAAAGTGTTCCTCCGGTAAACGGGAGTTGCATAATCTCATAGTCATAGGAACATGTATAAGTCATGAAGAAAGCAATAGCAACATACTTAACGATCGGGTGCTAAGCTAATGGAATGGGTCATGTCAATCAGATCATTCTACTAATGATGTGACCTCGTTAATCAAATAACAACTCATTGTTCATGGTTAGGAAACATAACCATCTTTGATTAACGAGCTAGTCAAGTAGAGGCATACTAGTGACACTTTGTTTGTCTATGTATTCACACATGTATTATGTTTCCGTTAAATACAATTCTAGCATGAATAATAAACATTTATCATGATTATAAGGAAATAAATAATAACTTTATTATTGCCTCTAGGGCATATTTCCTTCACCCATCCCCGCGCCCGCGCCAGCGACCATCCCCATAGCATTGACGAGCTGGTCGCCAAGCACTATCGCAGAGCTAGAAGCCGCAGGCGTCAGCGAGGTCTCCACGGATCCGCACGAGCTCGTGTACATGCCAGCGCCAGTGCCCGTGCCCGTGCGCGCCCCTCCACCCACCGCGACGCCGGTCCCCGTGCGTTTGGCTGCACCCGCCGTGCCCGTACCCGTGTGCGCGCCCCCCTCAGCGGCATGGGACGCCGCCGTTGACCGCTACCTCTCAGCACCGCCAGCTGCGATCCTCTCGCGCCCCGCCCGTCGATCGCACGACGATATGATGTTTGATTTACAAGTGAAGAACATTTTGTGCTGCATTGAAGACTTCAACAACGGCGTCTCGGAGGACGACAACGACAGCGCGGCACGCTGCCTCCGCCGCCGTCGAAAATAGTTTTTTTCTTAGGTTTAATATTGTGTCTCGATCATATGAATATAAATTCACAGTATGACTGAATGAAAGATATGGTTTGAGCGAACTTGCGTTTTTCTCTCTTAATGTACAGACTTATTAAACGATTTTTTTTTTGAAAAAACGTCAAAGGTTATTAAATATAAAACACTCGTCGCAAACGTTTTAGTTAGAACACCCGTATACAAACCAACAACTTCCTCAAGAAGCCAAAGAAAAATGTGCCGAGCAGAATTTGTGCAGCACTTGATCGCAAATGTTTTAGATAGAACACCCATATACTTTGAAGGTTGACGTATCAGGATCATAAATAGAAGAAATCAAGAAAGGCTAGAGTTTCGTTACAATATCTCAACGGGCTGTCAGAGTCTTAGATCCACCTATCTATCACATGCGGATTAGCTCTTTTTCACTGATTAGTGAGCTATTATATGTAGGCGATGATTAAAGGATACTAGTCTGCTAGACTTGGTTTGTGTCAGGAAGATCACCACATAGTCGTAACAGAAATTTCAGTACATGTGCCAAAATTATATACGTACGTATATTATGCTGCATATACATTACAAACTGAAATATGAACGAACCCATGACAATGAATCCACACAATATATGTGCTCCCGCTCCATGTCTGAAATCACGTTCCGAACAAGATGGCGGCGCGACTCCGCGACCCCGCCACGCTGCTCCCGTCCCTCGTCGGGGCCTCCTCCCCCCATTCCCGCCTCCGCGAGATCCACGCGCACCTCCTCGTCTCGGGCCGCCTCGCCTCTCCCTCCCACCACGCCGACTTCGTCGCCTCCCTCGCCTCCTCCAGCCACCTCTCCTACGCGCGCCTCCTCCTGCCCCGGCGCCCGGCCACGCTACTCGTCCACAACGGCCTCCTCCGCGCCCTCGCCCGCGGACCATGCCCCGGCCTCGCCTTCGCGGCCTTCCGCGAGCTCCCCCTCGCGCCCGATCACTACTCGTTCACCTTCCTCGTCCGCGCCGCGACCTCCCTGGCCGCCGCCGCCTCCTCGGCGACGCCCGTGCCCACCGATGTCGCCGTGAGCCTGCTCGCTGGTTCCGTGCACGCGGCGGCGTTCCGCCACGGCCATGCAGCGGACCTGCACGTCCAGAGCGGCGCCGTATCCATGTACGCGGCGGTCGGGGACGTGGGCGCCGTGCGGGCCGCCTTCGCGGAGATCATGAGCCCGGACGTGGTGTGCGTCACTGCTATGTTGGGCGCTCTCTCAGCCGGAGGCGATGTTGACACTGCGCGCGAGCTGTTTGACAGAATGCCGCAGCAGGACCATGTCGCCTGGAACGCCATGCTCACAGGTTATGTGCGCGTGGGCAGGGCAAGGGAAGCCTTGGGGCTGTTCGACGAAATGCAGAAGGCTGGGGTTTCTGTCGGTGAGGCGACTCTGGTGTCAGTGCTCACTGCCTGTGCACAGATGGGTGCACTAGAACGTGGCATGTGGGTGCACTCCTATGTGTGCAGCCGAGGGATGCGGGTTTCGGTCACACTGGGCACTGCTTTGCTGGATATGTATTCCAAGTGTGGAGTTGTCACGATGGCGATGGAGGTGTTCGAGAGCATGACCGAAAGGAACATCTACACCTGGACCAGCGCACTGAGCGGCCTCGCGATGAATGGCATGGGGGAGGAGTGTCTTGAGCTGTTCAAGCGTATGGAGAGCACAGGCATGGAGCCTAATGGTGTCACATTTGTCGCGGTGCTCCGTGGATGCTCCGTGGCTGGGTTGGTAGAAGAGGGACGAGCATGCTTTGATTCGATGAAGGATAAGCACAAAGCTGAGCCTTGGCTTGAGCACTACGGCTGCATGGTTGATTTGTATGGTCGAGCAGGGTGTCTGGATGATGCTGTCAATTTCATCAATTCTATGCCAGTGGAGCCACATGAAGGTGTCTGGGGAGCACTACTCAACGCTTCTCGGATTCACAACAACGCCGATCTGGGCAAACACGCAATGTACAAGCTCACGAAGATTGAGTCCAAAAATGATGCGGCTCACGTGTTGCTGTCTAATATATACGCGGAGTCGCACAACTGGAAGGGCGTCAGCAAAGTTCGGAACATGATGAAGTCCAAGGGAGTGAAAAAGGTGCCTGGGTGTAGTGCCATTGAGGTTGATGGCAAGGTGCATGAGTTCTTCGTCGGGAGCAAGTCTCACCCCAGATACAAGGATATCGAGACCATGCTTGCAGGTATGAGCCATAAGCTGAGATTGCAAGGGTACACCGCAAACACAAAAGAGGTATTATTCGATATCGAGGAAGAGGAGAAAGAAGGTGCGATCTCCTTGCACAGTGAGAAGCTTGCCCTCGCCTTCGGTCTTATCACGTTGCCAGAAGGCACGGTGATCAGGATCGTGAAGAACTTGAGAGTGTGCAAGGACTGCCATGATTATACCAAGATGATATCTAAGGTCTTCGACAGGGAGATTGTTATGAGAGATAGGAATAGGTTTCACCATTTCAAGCATGGCGCGTGCTCCTGTAGGGATTACTGGTGATTTTGTTGTGTAACTGTTCCCGTGCAAATTTTGATGATCCATTCGCAATCAATGATTCAAAGGTAGCACTCAGATCCATCTGCGAGAATAAGAGTAGAGATATTTTCCTCCCTGCATCCCGCCACAAACTAATATAGTTCAAAAGGAAAAAGAGTATACAGGATGATCTGTCTGGCAAAGGGCTGACAGGTTTTGAGCGCGTTCCTACACAGGCAAAAGAGGCTGGGAAGAACTTCAACATATATATAGTTCAGGTACCATGGCATATCTTGGTACATCCGGCTTTCATCATGTCTCAAGTAAAGAAGAAAGGGCGGTAAGCTGTGGTGCCACGAGTTTGCCTGAGCAAATGATATGCCAATCAGGGGAATCCAGCGGGAACAAGAAAGCTACACCAGCCAAAATGCCAAACTGGCAGGTGTACAGCCGCAGCTGGCATCCCACGCCAGAGCTTCGTGATCTTCGTCAGGCCAGGCAGCAAAGCAAAGCCATGATACAGGCAGATAGGAAACCAGTATTTTGATAACTGTATTTAGCACTGGTAGAGGAGAGAAGGAGAGAAGAAGTAATTTAGCAGTTAAATTTCTCGCTAAAGCACCATCAAGGGTCAGTGAACAAAATCTTCACAGAAACAGAGCGCACACCAGTTTGTTCGGCTATATTTATTCATGCACACTTGCTACAAGCAAAAATGCCACACTGGCAAACCGCGTAGTGTATATGCTAAACATAAGGTCAAATATAAGTGATCTATAATAAGATGTATTTGTTCTGAACATTTACATGTAGTATGTCACTGCCCAGTACATCTCCAACATTGACGGCAAACTGGAAGGAGTGGCGAAAAGTGTGCTTGCCATTAGTAACCTGTCAAAAATTGAAGTGAGGCTAGGTTAAAATTCAGCGGAAGAACCAAGACAAACTTAATTTCAGATAACCAAATATGAAAATACGAAGTTGGAACAGTTGAAGCATAGCATGCCATAGTTAGTCAAGGAACGACATAAATTTTGTAGCATAAATACACAAAATCATGAATGATGCCCAGGCTATTGTCAACATGAAGCTGTCAGTTTCTTAGTACTCCTTCCACCCCAAATATAAGGCGCACATTCAATTTGAGGTTAAGTCAATTTGAGGTTAAATCGGACGAATAATTAGACAAAAATTATACTGCCATAGGAGCTCTCGACTCCACTACCCCAACAAAGTGAGCTAGGATCACTTCCTTGTTGTCAAAGAAAAAACAAGAGCTAGGATCACTTCGTGTTTTTGTCATATAAAAGCACGTGTCGTTGGTCTAATGGTCAGATGTAACTGAATCTTGGAATATGTGCACGCCTTACCTTTTCGGATGAAATGAGTAGTAATTAGGGGTAACTAAGGATGGACAGTTCATTTTTCGTTTTAATCGGAAGCATTGAGTATCTTTGCTTTGTACAAGATCTCAAACTGCACAGGCACAACACCATAGTTCATAACTATGACTGATAATTTAAAGAAAAACCCTAAAGCATAATTTGCATTCGATGGCCGATACCTATTAGTATTACAACTCACTTCCTATGTAGCATGAAGCTTTGACAGTAACCTAGTATGTCTCACATTATACTCATAAGATTTCACGGCAGCGTTCAAACCAACACCAGGAATTGTTTCAACCATAAAAGAGAGGACCAACTAGTAAAACTGTTGCTACCTGCTCACGAGGACCAGCCAATCTTCTTCATGACATCCCTGGTTCTCTTCCGGAGCCTCATGAAGACAATGACCATGCAAGCCAGCACCCACGGTGGGAATTTCAGGTTGCCCAGCTTAGTTCCCTTAAGCCACTCGGGCATCTTCCCCTCCTTCAGTAACACCGCAACTACCACTGTCATGGCGCAGACAGTGAGCATCACCTTCGTGATGGGCTTCAGCAAAGGATCCTAAATCACCAAAGAGGCAAACACGGCACATGAAGACTTACTAACTATGAGTAGACCTGGCGGACATCACAGCAGACAAACTGCGCGAAATTTCACAGGGGACTGGGTATCGCGACTTACCTTGGGCTCGCCGTCAAGGAAGATGGTGGAGTCGGCGGCGTAGGGGAGGAGGGAGCGGCCGTTGCGGGGGTTGAATCGGATGGCGACGCCGCGCGCGCGGGAGGCGGCGTCGAAGGCGAAGACGCACTTGAGGCCGTGCTTCTCCAGGATGTCCCCCACCTCCAGCTGGTCCTGCGTGTACCCGCCCAGGGGCGACCGGAACACGGCCACCGGCCCCCGGCCCCGCCGGAAGAGCTGCACCTCCACCTCGGGTGCGGCCGCCGGCTCAGATCCGGGCCTCCCGTTCTGGGCGGAGGCCGGCAACTCCTCGTGGATGCCGTCGTCGGCCGGCGCCGCGGCCTTGTCGGCTTGCTTTTCCATTGGTTTGCTCGATCGGGTTCAGGGGAAGGCGAAAAGGGAATCTGCCAATCTGTGCCTCGCGCTGTAGCCGGGAATTGGGCTGCTTATAGGAGGCAAATCTACGGTTACCAAAAACAAAAATAGGCAAGTTCTAGGCAAATCTCTTTGCCGGGCACCGGGCCAGGCCAAAAAAGGAAGGCCAACACTCGGTTTTTTTGTTGTTTTTTTAGAATTAGAAGGCCAACACTCATGAAACAAAGAGTACCGCAATCAAATCAAGAGGAGTGTCATTTCATATTGTTGGAGAAGTAAGGTGATGTACAAAAATATTCTGTACCGTACAGAAAGGTATTTTGAATGGAGTACACGTGCTAAAAGGGTGGAATTATATGGAGAGTAGGAGATGGAAACACCGGAAAGTAAATTTGGCAAATAGTTGCCCATGAACCGAAAGTCATCTTCTACTCGCAAGCTCGTGATGAACAGTAAAATACAAAAATATTGAAATAAAATATAAAAAAATCTGATTCTTTTTCCAACTTTGACAGATCTTTTGAGTGCCTGCAAAATTTCATCATGAAATGACATTTGTGGGAGTCATGGCAAAAAACCAAAATCAGCACTCCAAAAAGCTTTCGAAAATACCACTTTTGGAGCATCTTTTGTTTTTTGCCATGACTTCCAAAAATATCATTCCATGATGAAATTTGGTGAGCACTGGAAACTTTTGCCAATGTTCACTCGAGCCGAGAAACACCACGTCCCCGTGCACCCCATATTCTCCCTCTTTTTTTATTTTTGGAGTTCTCACAAATCCTGAAATATTATGGATATAAGTTATGCTATATAACTTGCACCTGCAAAAACTCATTACGAGATATAACATCTTGTGAACTCTACAGAAAAGACAAATGTATATCATGTGTATGCTATTTAACTTAGTAGTACTATTCATATGAATCTTGACTTTTTTTGTAGGTCACAAATGATAATATTATTGGATGAATTTTTACAAGTGCACATGACATATCATTACTAACATCTAGGAATTATTTCATATTTTCTGGAAATCAGGACAAAATAAAAAGGAGTGGAGAGAATAGGGGTTGTGCGGGCAACTAGTTGCACAAAATCAATGTAACATATCAGCAAGGCAGCCATATTTTTGCTAAGGTTCCAGATTTGACTGACCCTACCTCTAGCACATGGGATATACAACAGCTCCGATCAACTTCTAACGAAGAAGATGTATATGTCATTCTCCAAATTCCGATCCAGGAAGGGCTGAAGATACACCAGCTTGGACAACCAAACCAGGAACTCTGCGCACGGTGCAGCTTCATCATCAAGTGATAGTGTTCAAAGTGGCAGCATATTTTGGAAGAAATTGTGGACTTTACCCCTGTCCAGCATGTGGATAGACCATGTCCAATATGCTGTTAATTACTCCTAGATGAAGACAGAGGTCATTGCTTTCTACAGTGCATATTTGTCAAGGTTATTGCTTTCGAAAGTGTAAATTTGTCAAGGTTAGTGCTTCCTAAAGTGCAAATTTGTGAAGGTTACTTGGAGAACTGCTTTTTTGGAAGTGTCGAATGCAACTTATCAATTGCCCAAATGCTATCTCGTTGATGGAGGATATTCTGAAAATAGAGGCAAAATGTCTGAAAGTCTATATTCTTTTGTAGTATATTGTGGTTTGAAAGAAACAGAGCTAATCAAAGAGAAGCGATAGGACTGCATATGAGATCATATACTCACTCCAACTGCATATGATGCAATCTCTGTCAGAAAAAAGAGATGTGTTGCAATCAGCTTTTCAGTTGTTTAAGGTAGAAGCTTGCTCACGGCTTTGTAATATTTCTGCAACATTGTTTAGCTACTTATGGAGTCAAGAATCTATCAGATTTGGCTTTGATACCTTTCCAATATATGTAAAAGAATTTGTCTGCTGGCGAGTGCAGCTCGCCCAATGAATGGAATGCTTTGTGTTTCTTCCAAAAACAGAGCTCTCAGCTGTCAAAAATAAAAGTTCAACAGAGCTCTGAAACTAGCAGGTCGGGATCAGAGTCAGCTCGGTCCAAGAGCAACCCCAAGCCGTGGACGACGTCATAAATCTCAGCTGATCTCGGGTGGTATGTGTCTTGCACCAGGAACTTGTGCACCTCACCATCCAGCTTTATCCAACTGTAGGCAGACAGCTTCTGCACGTTCTTACTCCTCATCAGGTCCCTGATCTCCCTCACATCGCCCCAGAGGCCGGCATCGGCATATATATTGGACAGGAGGACGTAGATTGAGGAGTTGTCGGGCTCCATTGCCAGGAGCTTGCTCGCGGCAAGCTTGGCGAGCTCGACATCGGCATGGACTCTGCAGGAGCTGAGCAGTGTGGTCCAGATCACCGCGTTTGGTTTGACTTCCATGTCGCAGATAAACTTGTACGCCTCCCACAGTTTGCCGGATTTGCACAGGAGGTCCACTATGCATGCGCAGTGCTCCACTTGAGGGGAAACATGGTGTTCTCTCTTCATCTCTTCGAAGAATGCCATACCTTGGTCTACCAAACCAGCATGCGTGCACGCTGCTAGCAGCGCAACGAAGGTGATCTCGTTGGGCTGGACCCCGTTTTCCACCATTTTTTCATACAAGCTGATTGCATCTTCTGCAAAGCCATTCATTGCTAGGCCTCTGATCATGGAGTTCCAAGTGATAACCCCCTTTTGTTCCATCCGGCTGAAGACACTCCAGGCTCTTCCAACATGCCCGCACCTGGTGTACATGTCAATTAGGGCAGATCCTAGGTAACTCGTAAGTGGTAACCTCTGGTTCTCAGCATAGTTCCCAATCTGCTCAACCAATTCATCAGAACCCAACTGCGCACACGCGGATAGCACACCAACAAGTGTCACTTCATTTGGTCTGCAATCGGTTTCCTTCATCCTCTCAAACAGTTCTAGAGATTCGAGTGGCCTGCCATTCTGCGCATAACCTGCAATCATGGTGCTCCATGCCACGACATCTCTCTGCGACATCCAGTCAAACTCCCGACGTGCATCGTCGATAGCATGACACTTTACATACATTTCCATCAAAGCAGTGTGCACTATCACGTTCTGCAATTCCTCCTCACCGATCAGAGCCCTTACGCGCTTGCCAGTATCAAGATCACCAGACTTGGCGCATATCGAAAATACCGATGTAATGGTGATAGCGTTTGGTCTTGCACCCTCACTCAGCATCCGATCAAACAACGTCAATGCTTCCCGGAATTCCCCACCATGAGCATAACAGGCGATCATTGAATTCCACGAAGCGGATGTCCGCCTCTCCATACCGTCAAATAGCTTCCTGGCCTTATCCACATCACCAGACTTTGAATATCCGGTGATCAAACAGTTTATCGGTATCGGATCCTTGACCGGCATCTCTTCAAAGACACTGACAGCGGACTCCATGTCTCCGTTCTTGGCATAGAAATCCACCAGAGCTGTCAGCACAAAGACATCCCTAAGCAGCCCACGGACAAGAGCATGGGAGTGCACCTGCCTGCCCTGGCAGGACGATGCGGTGAGCGCGCACGACTTGAAAACAAGGGGGATGCAGCCGGACGGGACGTCAGCGCCCTTGCGATGAATCGACGAGAAGGCTTGGAGGAGCTCCTGGTGGGAGGAGCTCCTGGAGAGCGCGGAGAGGAAGGTGCTGCAGAGCGCCTGGATCGGGCGCGGCACCGCGTCGAACAGGTTGCGTGCGGCGCGGGAGATGGTGGCGTCTGAGAAGATGGCGTGGAGCGGTCGGGTCTTGAGGAGGCGGGCTTCCATTGCTGGCAGCGGGCGGGGCTCGGCGGGAGATTTGGGTGGGCGGCGGCGGCGGCGGCGGTCGTCAGCGTGGGTGTTTGACGGCTCGACGGGGTGCGGCAGCAAGGCATGTCGTGCTGTGAAAAGGTGAGGCTCGGTTAACTTGTTCAGTTATATGGCAGCGCGGAACGCAGTTGTAGTGGCGGCGACCTCCGGCGGTCGTGCCGTCGGCGTCACTGATTTGGGTTCGCGAAAGCATCGGCGAGGCGCTGGCCGTGCGTGTGCAAAGGGACCTGTTGCTGCTAGACTGCTAGGGAAGTGTTTGGTTGTCGTTGTGAACAGTTACTGCATCACATACACTTCTTAACCCAGTGTGGTTAAGCAAAAACAGACTCTAATACGCAATCTGTAAATTGTTCGGTTACCTGCATGTAGTGTCCCTGCATTAGGTAATACGCAAGTGCACTTTGTTTGGTTGCCTGCATTGGCCCGAGCGGCACATGAACACGACGTTTGGTTGCATACGGCGTACATGTTGTGTTTACCTTATACCCTAGCTGATGCTACCCACACCTAGCACATCAACGCCACAGCACCGCAATGACGATAAATTGGGCAAAGATGATGAAGTTCTTCAGCTTCAGGCCAAACTGACGATCCACCTTGACACCTTAAACCTTACCACTATCAACATTGCTGTCGTGTTTTCGCACCCACTCGTACTAGGCTTGTTTAGCTGCCTGCCTAGTATTGAACCCTCTATGTGTGCTGTTGCTATATGATGCCACTTATGCACTGGCTTCTTCCCATGAACCATAAACCCCCGGGACCTTACCGATGAACACGACATACCACTTGCCCTAGCAATGCACAAGAGCAAGAGTTGAAGCAGCAAATCAATGGAGCACACAAGTAGTAAGCAAAGTAGCACACAAACAACAATAGAGCAGAAGAGAAGTAAAACATGCATGATCATACGGCATAGCAAGTTCTTCCTAGCACTACCTTGATGTTAACCTACCACCACATCCAAAAAAGGGTGTCGTCCTACCACCGCAAGTTCACCATCAGCGTGAGGGGTTAGTATATACCATCTCATCAAAATCTACAGACCACCAAATAGTTTTTGAGACCTAGCTACACAAAATGTACGTCGTCATCATCGTCGTTGTCGTCGTCGCCACCGCCATCGCCATCGCCATCGGGGATCATGCACGCTCACAGGCAGCACTACTCTAGTAGTAGTGCTTGCCCAACCATCTCCTGAGCCACAACACCCCGTGAGCGTCGGCCATGGCAACGAACCCAACACCCTAGGCCTTGTTGTTAAGCAGGTGGCTGAGAGCTGCCATGAGAGCCTCGCCACCCTGGGTCATGACAACGCCATACAGGTCAGGGTGGACGTCGAGGGTCTTGCACTCCATGATGGCTATTGCCACCTCCTTCACCGTCCCAGTCATGCTGCAAAAGACATTGATCTCCTCCTTCATCAGGCCTCCTCTCTTCATCTTCCTATCATGGACGGGGTCAAATGCCTTGTCGAAGGGCTTCGCAGCGGACTTGTTAGGGCCATCAAGGACCTCGACGTTCGGCGTCCCAGGGAAGTCTGGCATGGGAGAATCAAGAGGCTCCCCCGAGCCCATGGCATGCTTCCCAGTTGCTAGCCCGAAGGAGAAGATGTGCTGCATCTGGCTGTAGTTCTGTATGGGTGTGTTGAGGAACTCAGCGTCCTTGGGTGGTCCTAAGAATGAAACACAAGTGTTGTTAGTTGTGATTAGGAGCAGGCAATGGTGGTCAGTATGAAAAATAAGAGGGTTGTGAGCTAACCGCGACATGGCCGGTGTAGTGCTCTGCCTCCAGAACTATGGAGCAAGTGCTCTCATCCCATGAGGCGCCGCTAAGGTCTCTCAGCTTGGACACTTGGATCCATCGACTTCTCCACTTCCTCAGGTGGTTGTACACCTGGGTGGGCAGACACCTGTTGCCCATAGAACTCGAACACCTGCTGCTAGCTTGAGTGCAGTGGTAGCAGCAGCAGCAGCAACAGCAGTAGTTGGCTCAACGAGCACTACTGGCACATAGAGGGAATCATACGCGAACACCTCTGAATCAGGTGCCATCTCGGACATAGGCTGCGAGTCCTCGACAAACGATGGGAGCAAACTGGTTGTTGGACACGACAAGGGCCTGACTAAGATGTTGCGTCTGCGTGGTCATGTCCTATAATCGTAGCACGCATTGACAGTAAGTATAGCACACAGCATACCAGACAATCCATGAAAGCAGAAGCATACATGTACATGGTTCATCGCTATCATACCATGCATACCGGACAATCTATGAGCAGGAACAAACATCTACAACAAACAACATGCTACAAATGGACCACCAATAGCTACAAATCACAGATCTAAGCACGAATCAACACAAACACAAGGTTCAACTTCAAACTCTACCACTAATCTAGCCAACCACATGCTTGAACATCTAGCCCTACCACAAATTGCAACCGTACCATAGCAATCAACCATACCAGCTCACAGATCATACCATTAACCAACCATGCATCTAGATCAAACCCTAGCTATAGGTCAGATCTAGCAAGAAGGAATAGAGAGAAAGGGGGATTGAACTCACAGAGGCCATGGCTGCATCTCGAGGACGATGGGGGGCGGTCGTGAAAGATCAACACCGGCCGGTGAAGTGCGCCGACGCCATGGACAGCCGACCAATGAAGATGCGTTGCTTACCTGCTCGTCGGTGCCGATGCGCGTCGATGAGAAAGCTCGAACGGAGGGAGAATGGTGGCGGGAGTTGGGGCAGTGAGGGAGGGGCTAAATAGGGGTGGACTCGGCGGGAGGTGTGCCGAAATCCTCCCGCCGATTTTTCAGTGCGCGGGCGAGCTCGCGCCATCTCCCCTGCTTGCACGAGGGGAGAAGCGCGTCGCCCTCCCCTGCCTCGCCCGAGCCAGGCTTGCGAGCTACTACTGATTCGGGCGTTTCCCCTGGGCCTAGCCTGAACGTGCTTTAAGTTCCGTGCGATGCGGGCCACACAATGAACGCATGCAACCAAACGGGCCACTTTCTTCCTGCACGGGCCAGGCTAGGCCTAATGCGGGCAACCAAACACGTCCTAGGTGAAAGATCGTAGATGTCGCCTAGAGGGGGGGTGAATAGGCTCTTTTAAAATAATTACGGTTTAGGCTTGAACAAATGTGGAATAAACCTAGCGGTTAATTTGTCAAGCACAAAACCTACAACAACTAGGCTCACCTATGTGCACCAACAACTTATGCTAAGCAAGATAAACTACTAGGTGATAGCAAGATATATGACAAGAAACAATATGGCTATCACAAAGTAAAGTGCATAAGTAAAGAGCTCGGGTAAGAGATAACCGAGGCACGCGGAGACGATGATGTATCCCGAAGTTCACACCCTTGCGGATGCTAACCTCCGTTTGGAGCGGTGTGGAGGCACAATGCTCCCCAAGAAGCCACTAGGGCCACCGTAATCTCCTCACGCCCTCGCACAATGCAAGATGCCGTGATTCCACTAAAGGACCCTTGAGGGTGGTCACCAAACCCGTACAAATGGCAACCCTTGGGGGCGGTCACCGAACCCGTACACTTTGGCAACCCTTGGGGGCGGTCACCGAAACCCGTCAAATTGCTCGGGGCGATCTCCACAACCTAATTGGAGACCCCGACGCTTGCCCGGAGCTTTACACGATAATGATTGAGCTCCGAACACCAACAACCGTCTAGGGCGCCCAAGCACCCAAGAGGAACAAGCTCAAGGGTACCAAGCACCCAAGAGTAATAAGCTTCTCAACTTGTAACTTCCACGTATCACCGTGGAGAACTCAAACCGATGCACCAAATGCAATGGCAAGGGCACACGGAGTTCCCAAGTCCTTCTCTCTCAAATCCCACCGAAGCAACTAATGCTAGGGAGGAAAATGAGAGGAAGAACAAGAAGGAGAACACCAAGAACTCCAAGATCTAGATCCAAGGAGTTCCCCTCACATAGAGGAGAAAGTGATTGGTGGAAATGTGGATCTAGATCTCCTCTCTCTTTTCCCTCAAAAACTAGCAAGAAATCATGGAGGGATTGAGAGTTAGCAAGCTCGAAGAAGGTCAACAATGGGGGAAGAACATGAGCTAAAAGGATAAGGTTCATTGGGGAAGAAGACCCCCTTTTATAGGTGGGGAAAAATCCAACCATTACCCACCAACCAGCCCGCGGCCAGCGGTACTACCGCGCCTGGACAGCGGTACTACTGCAAGGCCGCGCGGTACTACTGCTTGCATCCAAGCGGTACTACCGCATGGCTGTGCGGTACTACCGTACCGACCCACGGTACTGCCGCAACCCCAGCACAGAACCGATAAACAGACGCACAGGAGCTGGGGGCGGAACTTCCGCACGCGCGGTACTACCGCGCCCCCCATGCGGTACTACCGCGAGGCAAAAGTCCCAACCAGGGGAAAAGGGAAACTTCCGAGCCTACTTCCGCAAAGAAACAAAAGTAGCAAAAACCCGACACAGTAGTACTGCCGAGGGGCGGTACTACTGCCTGACTGCATAGCGCGGTACTACCGCACGGTGAAAACAGTACTACCGCGGTAGGTGCGGATGTAAAAAATTACATCCGCTCCTACTACCGCAAAGGGGCGGCACTAGCCTGGTGGCCAGCGGTAGTGCGGCTCCAGGGGAGCGGTACTACCGTGGGCACCTGCGGTACTATCGTGCCACTGCACGGTACTACCGCTGATGCCTACGGTACTACCGCTTTCTTGGGAGCAGTACTACCGCAACCAACAACGGCAGCCACACAAGGGAGGCAAGAAAACGGAGGAAGCTCCAAGGAAGAAGGAGGGGAAAAGAAGGAGACGTGTACGTGATGAATCCACCCAAACCTTTCCAATGCGGACCCTGACAAGACCACACTCAAGAGAACAAGAACTGCCATAACTTCTGCATATGAGCTCCGAATTGAGCAAACTCAAGCTTGTTGGAAAC